GAGGCAGACACGGTCCCACCCCGCCCTCGGGAACGCAACACTATGGAGGGAGAGCCTGAGATAAACTGAGAAAGAAACAAAAACAATCATTACAGACTGAGGTCGGCATTACAAAGGAAATAAGTGGAGTGACACTAAGAGAGAGAGGAGGTGGCTCTCGCTAGGACGGTCACCTTCTCCGAGGAGCTAGCATTTGAGTGGAGATCTGAAGGAGGAGCCAACTTTTCAACAAGCGTGCGGGACAGCGCATCAGGCAGAGGGGACGGCATGCACAGAAGCCCTGAGGCCGCACCCAGCTGTGTTCACCCAAGGGCCCTACCTCTCAGCCTCCCGTGTCCCTTCCACTGACCCTTTCCCCTCGGCCTTAGCAGACCCCCCTCGCCTTGCCCTCTGCCTTCCTTGGCAAGTTTCTACAGAACATATGCTAATTTGAATATCCATCCCTAGGGGACTGGTTAAATACATTAGGGTTTCATCTCAAAGTGAACTTTGATACAGCTATTAAACAAAACGTGAACTTTGATACAGCTATTAAACAAAAAACAAAACGTGTGATTGAGGGGAGGAGGAATTAAGGCTATTTAGATAGATGGACATCTGGTAAGGCAGATAACTTAAAATTGCCTGCCCTCACCTTTCTGGGGTGATGGTGACGTCCTGTATATTCACAGGGCTTGGGTTACACAAGTGTCTGATCTTGCCACAACTAAGAGAACGTACACTTAAGATGTGTTCATTTAATTGTATTTGCCTCCCTCAATTAAAAAAGAAACATAAAATATTGAACCCTAGGTAACAATCTGCGTGCAGAAATGTTTAGGAGTGATGGGAACTGAGGACTGTAATCTAGTTTGAGAGCACCCCCCAAAATAACACTGATGGACGGACACACAGAGCGAGAGGGACGGATAAAAGGTTAGACAGCCAGAGAGACACAGTTGACTCCTGTTGTTCTCCACAGTTTTGTAAAGTCAACGCAAACACTGAACTAGCAAATAGAGAACTATCCGTCCTAGGGGAAATGTAGAGTTAGATTCCTAGGAGCCTCTGTTTACATTTTCATCAACTGATCGAGATATACCCTTGTTTTTTTGCGAGTTTCTGCTTAAAGGCGCCTTATTTAATATACCTGGTTGATTCACTAACATGGAACACTTAGCCAACAGCACTATAACGATAAGCTTATCTGACATGTTTTCTCCGTAAGGCACGCACAGCTTTCTGGCCCTTAGGAATGCTAGACAGCATTTCAGCACTATGGTTAGGGGCCACATTAACCAGTGAAATCACCAACAAAAAGCACAAACATTCAAAATATGTGAGGCCGGGTGCGGCGGCTCATGCCTGTCATCCAGCACTTTGGGAGACTGAGGCGGGTGGATCACTTGAGGTCAGGAGTTCGAGACAAGCCTGGCTAACATGGTGAAACCCTGTCTCCACTAAAAATACAAAACATTAGCCAGAGGTGGTGGCAGGCACCTGTAATCCCAGCCCCTTGGGACGCTGAGGCAGGAGAACCTCTTGAACCCAGGAGGTGGAGGTTGAAATGAGCCGAAATCAGGCCACTGCACTCCAGCCTGGGCAACAAGCGCGAAACTTTGTCTTTAAAAAGATAAAATAGGCCAGGCGCAGTGGCTCACACCTGTAATCCCAGCACTTTGGGAGGCC